TGAAATCACTACAGAACTCAGAAATTCAGAAGGTCAACAAATACCTATTTCCAAAATCTTTATTCTCACAAGATGGAAAACAGAAAAAATGGACAAATTCCTAGATACATATGAATTACCAAAGCTGCATCAAGAATATATAAAAATGCTAAATAACCCAATAAACAGTGAGCTAAATTGAAAATGTAATAAAAAACATAACAACAAAGAAAAGCCCAGGTCCTGATGGATTCACAGCTGAAGTTTACAAGAAATTTATTGAAGATTTAATGACAACTCTTCTCAAACTCTTCAATGAAATGGAAAGGGAAGTGATTCTTTGAAATTCATTCCCGGAGGCAAGCATTATTCTAACGCCAAAATCAGAGAAAGACCCAACCAGAAAGAAAACTACAGGCCAATCTCCCTAATGAACATAGATGCAAAAATCCACAATAAAATACTAGAAAACAGAATGCAGCAAATCACGAAGAGAATAACACATCACGACCAAGTGGGATTAATCCCAGGAATGCAGGGATGGTTTAATGTATGCAAATCCATAAATATAATATACCACATCAACAGAGCCAAAGACAAAAATCACATGACTATCTCAATACATGCAGAAAAACCTTTTGACAAAGTATAACACTCATTCATAATAAAAACCCTACAGAAAATCAGAATAGATGGGTCTTTACCTCAATCTGATAAAAGCCATCTATGACAAACCAATAGCTAATGTCATACTAAATGGAAAAAAACTGAAAGCCTTCACTTTCAAATCAGGAATAAGTCAAAGACGTCCACTGAACCCACACCTATTCAATATAGTTCTGGAAACATTACCCAGAGCAATTAGCCGAGAGAGAAATGAAAGGAATAATCATAGAAAAGAAGAAGTGAAATTATCATTATTTGCAGATCACATGATACTCTACATAGAAGAGCCCAAAACACCAAGAGACTTGTAGATTTAATAATCAAATTCATTAGCATAGCAGGATACAAAGTCAATACTCAAAAATCAACAGCATTTCTTTCACAAAGAACAAATGCACCAAGAGAGAAATTAGGGAAAGAACACCTTGCACAATAACCTCTAAAAAAGGGAAATACTTAGGAATCAATCTCACAAAGGGAGTAAAAGATCTATACAGTGAAAATTACAGTATTCTGAGAAAAGAAATCGAAGAGGATTTCAGAAAATGAGAAGATATTCCTTGTTCCTGGATAGAAGAACCAACATCATGAAAATGGCCATATTCTCAGAATTGTTACACAAATTCAATACAATCCTGATAAAAATACCACTAGCATACCTAACAGATCTAGAGAAAACATTCCTAAAATTCATCTGGAACCAGAAGAGACTTAGTAAAGCAAAAGCAATCCTGGACAATGAAGGAAAGCATTCAGGAGGCATCAAAAACTTGAAATTATACTACAACGCTACTGTAATAAAATCAGCATGATACTCACAAAAACACAGACCTGAGGATCAATGGAACAGATTAGAAGATTCCCACACAACTAAAGATACACTTAGCCACCTTATCTTTGATAAAGTCAAACATGTTCACTAGAAGAATCATAGCCTCTTTAATAAATGGGCCGGCCAAATAGTTCAGTGGATTAAAGTTCCTGCAAGCAGGTGCAGGGGCCAGGGTTCAATCCCCAGGCATGTTGTGCAGGCCCCACCCCAGGCATGCTGGGACCTCTATTGAGACTGGGTGTGGTGGCGCACACCTGTAACCCAAGCTCTTGGGAGGCTGTAAACAGGCGGATCACTACAAGTCTGATCTAGTAATGAGACCCTGAACACCCTGTAGACCCTTCCCAAAATAAATAAATAAGTAGTACTGGAAAAATCGGCTTTGCACATGCCAAAGGCTAAAAGTAGACCCATGTCTATCACCATGCACTAAACTACAGTTAAAATGGATCAAAGATTTAAATATTAAAACAGAAACACTAAATCTTCTGGAAGAAAAAGTGGGTAGAAATCTTAAAGACTTAGGGGTAAGTAGAGAGTTCATGAATAAAAACTAAACCATACAGGAAATACCCCAAAGAATCAACAACTGGGATCTCATCTTGTTGAGTTTCTTCACATCAAAAGAAATCATCAACAGAGTAAAAAGAAACCCCATGAGCTGGAAAATAGTTATAGCTGACTATCTCTCTGACAAAAGTCTTCTATCTAGAACATATAAAGATTAAAAAAAATCAGGGACCAGGGAGATGGCTCAGTGGAATAAGCACTTCCCTGACAAGCATAAGGGCCTGAGTTCAATCCCTAGTTCCACCAAAAAAAAAAAAATCAGCCCTCCAAAATTCAAAGACCCTATTAAAAAATGGGCATCTGAGATAAATATACATTTCTCAGAAGAAGAAATACAAATGGCAAATAAACATAAGAAAAAAATGTTTATTTTTTTCTTATGGTCTTTTGAGAAATGATCAAATTAAAACAACATTGAGATTCCATCTCACCCCAGAAAGAACAGGTATTATCAAGAAGTCAACCAATAACAAATGCTGAAGGGGTTGTGGAGAAAGTCACCCTTCTGCACTATTGGTGGGAGTGCAGACTGTTATAACAACTATGGAAATCAGGGCAGAGATTTCTCAGAAAACTAGGACTGGAGGTGTCATTCAACCTAGCTATTCCTCTCCTGGGTATCTTCCAAATGAACTGAAACATCATACCACAGTGATATATGTGCACCCATGTTCATAGCAGTGCAGTTTGTCGTAGGTAATTGTTAGAAACCACCCAAATGCCCATCAACTGAGGAATGGATAAAGATGATGTGATATTTTTACACAATGAAAGATTACTCAGCTATAAAAAGGATAAATTTGAGGCTTTTATTTGTAAATGGACACAACTTGAGACCATACTCTTAAGTGAAATAAATCAGACCTGCTTGTGTAAACATCATGTTGTCTTACTAATGTAAGAAACTGAGAGTAAATAAAACCTGACAGGTATAATAGATACTGTGAAAAGGATAAGAATCTGTTTAAAGGGCAGGAAATACTGAGATGAGGAGAACATAGGCGGGGGTGGGGAGCGAGATCTATGTATGTGTGCAGGACGACTTGGACAACTCTACTGATTTCTGCTGCTCTATGGAAAGGCACAGTTAATGCTTAATTTTTTTTCTTTTTAATTTCTCATAACTTTTCCAATTTTACATGCATATGTCTGATAATCTAAACAACTAATCTGGGGACAACAGTATGCAATACAACAAAAACTGTCCAATTCGTAATATTTTGTTTGGTGAAATTCTGTACCATTTCTAATGGCTGTTATGGTTTGTGTATAGTAGGTCCCCTAAAGCCTCATGCAGTCATGGGGGGGCTTCTGGAGTTTGATTATTGTGGGTGTGGACGCTGCACCTGCCCTGGGGCAGGTAATTTGCATTTCAATGTAAGGAGGAAAGAGAAATTAGAGGCTTGAGCTGGTACTCCTCCTTCTGTTCTTGCTCTCTGCCTCGTCCTTCTCTGCCTTGATTTCTTTTTTGGTACCAGGAATTGAACTCAGGACCTTTTGCTTGCCAGGCCGGTGCTGTGTCACTGAGCTATATATCCCTGGCCCTGTGCCTCTCTGCCTTGGAGCCAGCTGAATATGGACTGAAACCTCCAGTAACTGTGAGCTAAATAAACCTTTCCTTCCTTCATTTTGGATGTTGGGTATTAGTCCCAGCAATGAGAGAAAAGTAACTAATACAATGGTTATTTTGTATTCTTTAAAAAATAAAATGTTGCTCAAGCTCTGAAAAAAAGAAACAATAAAGAGAATGATGTGGTTTCTACAGACAGAGTAAATTCAGGCTGAAATAATGAGATTTTTGCTTTCACTAAGACTTACCACTGGAGAAAAAGGACAATTCTCCCAGAACTTCTGTTTGTTTACATGTATTAACAACATAGTCTTCAAAAGAAGTCTGGGCTGCTGGTCTAAAGCTCTTCAAAGATTCTGTAGCTTTCTGTATTCTGCAGACAGATACACTTTAGATAAATATGATTCTTTAAAAAGTGAAATCAGACTAAACATCTGCAATAATATGATGAACAAAAGAAAGCCCACACTTCCCTGGGACACTTTAGAGCACGCAAGCATGAAGTAGAGCACAAATTTCATTCTGTACTAACAGGACCAGGCACCACTCTGGAGCTAAAGGTGCATGCACAGTGGGTCAGTGATACTCCATTCACCTGAGGTGAAGCTGCTTGGCTGTCTGCACAAAGCAGGACTGATCTGTCTCCTTCAGCACCTCCTGAGCATATCCCACCAGTCCGTTGTTCTCTAGAAGCCCCTGGTACTCTTCCACTTGAGTCTGAAATTTGTCCAGTCTTAGTTTCTTAGAGACATCAATTGCTTTCAGAACAGATGACTTCCTCTCTTCTAGGATTTCAAAAAGCTTTTCAAAGTGTGTCATGGCTTCTTCTTTAGCCCTCTCTCCATTGCACTGTAACAAAACAAGTGCAGGTGTGACCCCATGGGTCGAATCCCAATGTCATAACACAGAGTTCTATATAACTTTATTTAACTTATGTGATAATGATCAAAATTTGATGGAACACAGATACTATAAAGAAAAATGTCTCACTTGAAATTTTTAAAACAGTACTATGGCATCAAATACACTTAGCAAAGAGCAACTGACAACTTGGATTCAGACTTGCCAGACATGCCGGGCACATGCCTGTCATCCAAGCACTTGGGAGGCTGAGGTAGGAGGATTGCAGTGAGTTTGAGGCCAGCCTGGGCTACAGGGTGAGTCCATGCCAGCCTAAAATACATAACGTGACTCTGTCTCAAAAAAAAGGACTTAATTTGTAATTGCATAATATTGTAGTTAATTGTTTTTTTATCTCCAGTGTTCAGCAATAGACCATTTACTTGATTACATAAAAAGATTTTTCAGTTATATATAAAAGAATCTGAAGCAAAAAAAAAAAAAAAAAAACTGACTTAAGCAGAATAAAACCTATTTCTAGAATTTCATACAGAATTCATTTAACTTCAAGAACCTTTTATATACACCATTCCTTTTCTAAAATACACTCACAAATACGCTCATAGCTACAAAACTAGCACAAATTACGTTCTTCACAGAGTACGAAAATGAGTCTTTCTCAAGTTAATTTGACTGCAGCTTGAGTCCTACTCTGCCGTGCGATCTCATTCAGAGGATTTAACACTTCCACACGTGCCCTTCTCTCTCGTAAAAGCTGTGAGTTGGGCTGGGATGTAGCCTGGCATAGAGTGTGGAATGGTTTCAATGCCCAGTATCCTCCCCAGAAAACTTGATGGAGAAACTGGTTAGGTTTTAGCGATGACTAAGAAAGATTTACACAAAATTCTACAATGTCACACTGTACATGAGCAAAGTGCATAAACAGGTTATTGACTCTTGTCATGAGTCTCTGTAGTATTTACTAAATATTTTGAATCCCTATAAAAACAGCTCAATATGATTTTGAAAACAAGACCCACAGCACTGATAAGCATGCATCATAATGAAACCAACAGGAAAAAAAAAAAAAAAAAAAACTTTTAAGAATATTCCCAGGGCCAGGGAAATGGCTCAGTGGAATAAGCACTTCCCTGGCAAGTGGAAGGGCCTGAGTTCAATCCCTGGTTCTGCCAAAAATAAATAAATAAAATAAAGAACATTCTCGTGCAGAAGAGTCTTACTTATAAGTAAGGCTTAGCACCTGTGACGCAGCTCGAGCACGGGCAGAAAGGAAGTGCAGCCCTCAACATCTCTGACCTCACGCAAGCTCAGGAAGGAAGCACTGTTCTGTGAGCATTTAAAGCTTCAGTTCTTCATTTTTTAATTTTTATTTATTTATTTATTTCACAAGACTTTATCACTATTAGAAATCTGGATCTTAAACAGATTCTTGGACTGGTGGTTCATATCCATCAGCTCGTTCAACTTTAGCTCCAATCTCATCTCCAGTAGTCTTTCCAAAGCTGCTATCTTCATCATGAAGCTCCATGAGTTTTCCCAATTCAAACTTGGGCTTCTTCAGCAATTTTACTTTTCTGACGAAGACATTATGAAGAGGGTAGACAGACTGGCAAGCCTTTTCTATGTCTTTCTCAGTGCTGCCTGGAATCAGTTTATTGACCACTTCCTTCAAGTCATTTGTCTGCACCTCCCGGGTCATGATTTCTATCATCTTCTTCTGGATCTGGCGGGCCTGTTGGTGCTGAGCGTAAGAGGTCTTCCGGATCTGATTGTTGCATCTTTTAGTAAAGCCAACACAGAACGGTCAAAGCAAATACCCATTGGTAGTCTTGACATCAACATGGGTTTCGGTCACAGTCTGCCATTTTTTGACCATGGAACACATTTTGTCCCGGGTGAGGTCCATGCCATGGAAGTCAGTCAGGCAGTTTTTGCCCTGAACATCTTCAGTAGTTAGCTTGAATTTTCTAAAGGCAACTTCATCATTCTGCAGGTCAGCAAGGCTCACTTCAAACACATGACCTCTGAGCCCATCACATGCAATTTTGGTTCCTTGGGTTCTGGTGACAAGTGTTTTTCCAGTATTTTTTATGTTGAACATAGCCAGCGCCTTCACATCATACCAGTCTTTTTTAGAAAATGGATCAACCACTTTCTTCTTGGCTCCTTTTTTACTGCCTTTCATAAGGCACTTGATCTTGCCTACCGCCATGGTGCTGCTCAGAGAGCCAAAAGGGCTCAATTTTTTTATCTATTGGATGACAAACTCCAAAACAAATGCTGGGTTTCCCTAATTTCACAAGTAAAGGCAGAATGACTGGGACAACTTGGTAGCGGAAAAACTAAAATAACCAAAGGTACAATCCCCGGAGCTACCCACTATCCAGGGAATAGTTTGCTTTCTGTTGGGAGATTATACCAAATTGAAAGATGTCATTTAATCAGACAAAAATGTGAAAAATATTCCCCTTAAATTACATGGAGAAACAACTTAATACTTAAGAGTAATAAATGTCATCAGGATCAGTAAAATGGTATATTTTTTAAAGGCAAAGCCAGTATATATGGTCCTAGTTCAGATTATTTCCCAATAATTTGACTCTATTTTGGAAAAAAAAAATTCCAAGAAAAGTTTAATTCCAAGAGTAGGATATAGTTTTTTAATATTTTATATTTAATAAAAAAATCAGTACTTATCAGGGACAATGAAAAATATTTGGAATTTTAGAAATGATCCAACACAGTCCTCTTCTATATCTTTAAAATGCTATTCGTTTTTCTTATTTAAAATATACAAAAAGTAGGGCCAGCCAGATAGCTTAGTGGATTAAAGTGCCTGCTTAGGCAGAGCGCAGGGACCCAGGTTCAATTCCTGGCATGCCGTACCAGCCCCACTCCCACGGCACACTGAGATGGCAATTGAGACTGGGTATGGTGGCACGTAGCTGTAATCCCAGTGCTTGGGAGGCTGAAAACAGTAGACCCTGTGCTAAATACATAAAATAAAATTTTTAAAAAAATACACAAAAAGAAAAATATACACATACGAAAATCAGTAAATCTGTAAAACACACATGCAACCAGTATGCAGATTAGATGAAGCCTTATCCATACACAGGCACTAATCCTCCCCTCTCAACAATGACCATCTCAAATTTCAACAATCTAGTTTCACCTTTTGGGAAACTCAGTACTGAGGAGAAGCCCAGGCTGCCCGGCAACTAAACTATAGCTCCAGCCCTTTTTCATCTTTTATTTTGAGACAGGCTCTTGCTAGGTTACCCAACCTGGCCTCAAACTTGCAATCCTCCTGCCTCAGCTGCCCAAACAGGCCCAGATTTTCAGAAACTTTTTAATAAATATCACCATGTAATATATATTCTTTTGTATGTGGCATTTCCTTTTAATACTGCAATGTTCACATGTAGTTGCAGATCATTCTTATTTCTACTTTCATTCCACTGTTTATGGACATCACATTTACAGTTTTCATTTTTTAGCTATCATAGAATCCATAGCCATGAACACTCTAGAAAATGTCTCTCTTTCTCTCTCTTTTTTTTTTTTGTCTTTTTGAGACAGGGTCTCACTATGCAGTTCAGGCTGGCCTTGACCTCACGGTGATACTCTTGCCTCAGCCTCCCTAATACTGGGATTACAGGTGGACACCACTATGCCCAGCCATATCTTTTGTAAAGAAATGCAGAATGTATAGTCAGGAATAACTGGAATTTTAAATGTAAACCAGGTCCTATCCAAACAGAGTATATTTTTCAAAAGCAATTTGTTAATATTTCTTTTTTTTTTTTTTTTTTTTTTTGGTAGAACCGGGGATTGAACTCAGGCCCTTGCACTTACCAGGGAAACGCTTATTCCACTGATCCATCTCCCTGGCCCTGTTACAGTAAAAGCTACCATCTCCATTATTCATTTCCTTTTTGAGACTTGGTTACTTGTCATATAAAGTCATTCTTCTATATTCCAATGTTATTTAGTCACTGATTGATCACAACAGTGATGACAGAGTGTTCATTAATTTTTGATTAGTTTTTTTTTTTTTTTTTTTTTGAGATAGTTTTTCACTATGTAGTTCAGGGTGGCCTTGAATTCACAAAAATCCTGCCTCAGCCTCTGGGGTGCTGGGATTATGGATGTGAGTCACCACACTCAGCTGTCCACTGATTTTTTTTGGCGGAACCGGGGATTGAACTCAGGCTAGCACTTTTTTTTGGTAGAACCGGGGATTGAACTCAGGCCCTTGCACTTACCAGGGAAACACTTATTCCACTGATCCATCTCCCTGGCCAAGGAAGCGCTTGCCAAGGAAGCACTTTTTCTACTGAGCCATCTCCCTGGCCCCACCCTGATTTTTTTTGTATCTATTTCTCTGGTCCTAGAAAAGCTGGGATGACATCTAACACAATTTTGTGTGTTCCCAGCTCATATAACACCCCTAGAATTTTATGAACAAATAAATGAATGTCAAAATATATAAACGAAAACTATATAAACTAGTTTGTTACTTACCTCTGTTTCTTTCATTAACAAGTTTAGTTCAGAAATTTGACTCTTCACCTGGCTCTCTTTACCAATAAGGTAATCAATATCCTTTGAAAGCTTTTCCTGTTGAAACATATTCATAACACCAAGTTTAACAAAGGCCTTGCATGACTTGTTTAAATTACCTGGTACTCATCCTTTGTAATGACAGACAGTGAAATCAGCTTTAGTGATTAACCATATTAACCTAGGGTAAATAGGTACTGCCTTAAGCACAAAGGCCCAAAGATATAAAGAAAATTAAAAGTAGGACATATAAAAAGAGTAAGGTTATAACTCTTAAGATTATTCAAAAATTCTAAATGAGTACACAAATAATACTTTTTTGTTATTTCATTATCACTCTCAGAAATCTTTTTCCAATGACTTTCAAGTAAATGTAAAGGGAACAGTTCAGACTTATCATTTATCAGACTTCATAATTTATGCTCACATACCCCACACCACAGGAAAAGCAACAAAAAGCAGCCCCCCAGTCTAGATATTCATTCAGTAATATTGGGGACCAAAAATATAAATTGTGTCCAGAGGCTGTCCAAGGCTGTTGTCCTGCCTGCTGAGCAAGATTAGAATGAGGAAACTCCCTGTTTTCCTCTAATCACAGCGGAAGCCCTAGGGATGGTGACGCTGCGGTGCTCAGAGGGCAGGATAATACCTGCTGAGGATGACAAGGATCTTGAAAGCAATGTAGTAGCAGTGGTAAACGTTTCGGCGGGGAGACTCCAGTTTCCTCATCCGCATCCTTGCAAGAATGCTCTGTTCCTTCCCTAGCCCACCCCCACTGATACTGCTGTTCCTGGAATTACACACCGCCCCTCCCATGCACTGGCCAATGAAAGAAATGGCAAGCTGGAGTCTCTGTCTTTGCCATCCTGAGGCACTGACCTAACAGGATCTGAGCACAGCAGTGGGAAGGGTGGGTACAAAAGAAGGGACAGACCAGCTTCCAGGAACTGAAAACATGAGTCTCCTCCCACAGTACCTTCCTCTTTTTACTTAGACCACATAATAGGAAGAGAATCTGCACAAAAATCAACATGACAGGCTTTGAGAGACCCATCTGTTTCCCAAGAACACCAGAAGTCAGAATAAGCTTCCTGATGGTCCCTGAAAACACAGAGGAAGAACCTGTCGGGCAGAGGACTAAGACTGGATACTAATGGCATAATGAGGCTAAGAAAGAAATGACAGGTGTAAGGCGTAACAAAAGGCATGAAATGCTGAACCTCAGCAAAAGACACCACGGCTGAGGAAGCCAGGCCTGAGTACCAACACCCCACATTGAACAGCTGAGCTGGAAACTGCACCACAGCATGCACTCCAGGTCAAGCCAGAGAACTGCTTGCTGTCAGGATTCAGGAGCATGGTCCTAGAACACCACTATTTACTCCTGGTGAGTTTTAACGCTTAGATAATGCCAGCCATGTGTGTTCTTTATCTGAGACAGCTCCAGTCTTCTAACTGCCCTCAGACCTTGGCAGTGTGTTTTAAAAGACTAAGATCTATTTTACCTAAAAATCACTATGTCCATGCGTGCATAGGTCTCCAAAAAACAGATTTAAGTATCAGACACTGATAATGAAAGAAAAATGTAAAAAGGCAAGCTCCCATACCCATAGGAATCTCACACAATGAGGAAAGTAGTTCTAGATAAATCACAGAACTGATCTAAATAGAACTGATCTTTCCTGAGAAAGTAGCCTTAGACTCCAAAAGTGCTCAGAAGTCCTCCTTTCGAGCAGTGGTTTTCACACAGTGGTGTGACTCTGAGTCCCGAGGGCTGATGAAAAACACAGAATGGGGCTGGTGAGATGGCTCAGTGGTCTAAAGCACCTACTTAGAACAAGCTTAGCAAAGCCCAGGGACCATGGTTCAATCCCCCAGCACCACATGCCAGCCAGCCCACCCCCTGGTGGGCTGAGCTGGCCACACACACACACACACACATAAATAAATAAATCAAATTTAAAAAAAAGAAAAACACAGAAGCCCAGGTCCCTTGAAGGACATGCCCACTCTCTGTAGTTGTACCAAGTGCCCAGGTGAAGCTACCACCACCAAAGTTCAAGAATCATTGTTTCCCTATGTCAATTGTGGCCATAATCGAAGGTTTGAAAGAATCTAGAGCCAACCAGGCAAGTGTGAAGGAAGACAGGAAGGCAAAGTCATCAACAGTCATAACTACATACCTTTTGGGTAAGGAAGCCAAAAGCTTTTGGGTAAGGAAGCACAACCAGTCTGGGATGGGAATTCCCTGCTCATCCCCACAGACCATACCTGTCTTACTTTTCTTGTTGCTGAGACAAAATGAGGAAAAATTTACTTGGCTCATAGTCTTAGAGATTTTGGTTTACAGTTGGCAAGGTGGCACAGTGGAGGGGCATCACAGAGGGAAAACAGTTCACGTAGCCAGAAGGCAGCAAAAGCAAGCTGCAATCAATAAGCTTCTTTCTGTTCCTTATATTGTATCCATTCCCCTTAAGGCACGTAGCACTCACACCCTTAACTCCTAGCCTCACACACTCCAGATCCAGTGAGCTCTAAAATAGCCCCACCTACGATGGCATGAGGCTTTGAGAGGACATCTAAACTCAAGCCATAATACTCTGCCCATGGCCCCCCAAAGACTCATGGATAGCCCTTGATGCAAAAGGCATTTGTTTTATCTCCAAAACCTGCCAAAATCCTAATGGTTTCAGTACTGCTGAAAAGTCTGAGTCCAGTCTCCTCTGAGATTTAAGGGAAACTTTTAGCTGTGAGCCCCTACACAAATGAAAAGAAGGTTAAACACATCTAATACGCAATGGCACAAAATAAAAATTACCATTCCAAAAGGCACAAATGGGAAACAGGAGCAGAAAGGACCTAAGCAAGTCCAAAATCCAACAAGGCAAACATTAAGTTCTATAGTTTCATGCATAGCAACTGGGAAATCTGCGTAGATGTGAACGCCAAAGATCGTGGCTCTACCCTATGGCACTGCTGGTGGCCATGCCTCCCATGGCTTTTTCCTCAGAGGCCAACTCTACAGTTCTGCTTCATTCTTGCAGTCTTCCTCAGGCAATGCACATCCCAGCTTCTCCCAACTTCTGGGGTTGCCACTGCACTTTGGCTTCAGGCTCACAGCTTCACACGCTGCCCTCCGAGGGGCACAGTGCCTGGCTTCCAGGTCTCCTTCTTAAATCCAAGTGGACACCTTCCTGACCCCACAACTACAGTCTCATGCCCCTATAACCAGCACCACGTGGTGCCGCTAAGATCTGCCACCAGCTGGCCCAGAAGCCAGGCTTTCTTCTCCCCTGGCTCTAAGGATCGAGGGTCTGCGAACCAAACCTGAGCAACAACTTTCTAAGCCACCACCGTTCTGGGACATGGCGCTGTGGGGTTCTCTTCTCAAAGCAAAATCTTTCATCTTTACAACTCTCAGGCTGAAAAGGTTGGAGTCTTGCTTCTTGTGATGTCCTCAGGCCATCTTTTCTTGTCCTCTTCTAAAATACTTGGCCTTTTCTTGCTAGTCTCCTCAGTAACTAATTTTTCCTCTGCTCCATCTTTGCAGGCTACAACTTTACTCTTTCTGACCAACTCACATTTGAGTCATTTTGCTGGGCTTTTCATTCTCAACACAGATCTGGCTAAAAGTCCCCAATAGTAGCCATGCCACTGCCTCAACATTAGACTTCCTTCGAGTTTTTTCTGCAAGATTAATTAATCCACTGTCCTTAATCTCAGTCTCAGGCAAAAAGTCTCTGGACATAAGCAAAATGCATGGGGCCTGCCCATTAGCTCAGTTGTTTAAGTGCCTGCTTAAGCAAAGCAGTCATGCTCAGGATACTGTGGTTGGAGCCCCAGATCCTCATGCCTTACCAGAACTGCCCCTTAAAGCATCCTGAGCCAGCCCCGCCCCCAAAAAATCCTTCATAAGCAAAGTGCAGATAAACTTTCTGATTAACACACATCATCTGGGGTTTAATAGCCAAATGCAATTGTCCTTCCCAACAGAAACCTCCAAAGGTTGCTCTTTACCAACAGCATTTCTATCAACATTGTGGTTTTTCTAAGTTCTCATCAAAATCTCCCATCAAATACAGCCACAGGTATTCCAGGGTCAGCATCTCTAACTTTTCCAAACTGTTCCACCAAGCTAGTTCCAAAGGCTCCCTGAACCGCATGATGAAGTACAGTCACAGCAGTGACCCCATTTCTCTGGTACCAAATTGCTTTTATTTCTTTTCTATTGTCCTGTGCCTTCTGAGCAATGAAGATTTTCCCTGGTCTACCTCTGCAGTCCATAGCTTTTGGAAAGACATCATCTAGAAGGGTAGTCACATAAAAAGAGAGGCAATGAATACCTAACCACAGTGCCCTTTTCCAGGCAACGCAAAGTTCTGAAGCCTCAGCAGTCCTCCACAAAAACCCAGGGGAGGAGGAGAGCTCCCAGACGGCAGAGCACACAAAGCTCCTGCAGGGTGGCACAACCAGGCAGGGATGGAAGCTCCCTGCCCACTCCCACAGACCACACTCTGCGCATCTCTTCATCCTCTGTAATACACTTCTGCTACATCAGTAAGTGTTTCTTTGGCTTTTGTGAACCATGTAGATTAAGTGACCTGCAAAGGGTATTTTAGGGACCCTCTCTTATAGCCAGGTAGTCAGAAATACCTGGGGCCAGGTATGGTGGTGCCTGCCTGGAATCCCATTACCCGGGAGGGAGGCTGAGGCAGGAGGATCACCACAGTTCCAGGTAAGCCTGGGCTACACAAGGAGTTCAAAGCTAACCTAAGTTACATAACAAGCCCCTGTCTCAAGACAAAACGAACAAGCGGCAGCACCTGGTGTTTGCAGTGGCATCTAAATTGGGGTATAATCTTGGGCACTGAGCCCTCCATGCGTGGGATGTGATGCTATCTCCAGGAAGACAGGGTCAGAATAAACTGGATTTGAAGCCCCAGATGGTGTATGCTACAGAACTGATGGACTAGTCGCTGGTGGGGTGAGACTTCCACATTATCTGAAGTCACAGAAAGCTTTTGTGTTGACTGTTACAGTCTAAGAGCAGAAGAAAAGCATGGCTTGTTTTTCAACACAATAGCTTAAGTGTATACTACTGCAGAAGACCTATACTGAGGAGTAGAAAAGAATGCACTTTGTATATGATTTAACCTATAAGAAACTGAAATATTAAAAAAATTAATTATAAATAGTGCTATATCGGACAAACTGTCAAGGCATGATACAGTAAAAAACAATGGATTTTCTCTCCCATTTAAATCAAGCTAACAAAATATATAAAACAGCTCTCAAGATGTTAGAGATGTCAAAAAACAAAGATGAGACCTGTTCCAGGAAGTTGGGATAAAGGGGAACCTCTGATTGCCACACAGTGCACTGTCTGGAAAAGATTTCCAAGGTCTGGCACAGCAGAGAAAGAAAATGGAGCCCAGGGCATCCCACAAGTGCACGCGACGAGACTGGGAAAGTCCAATAATTTTAAGACCTAACACTAAAGGATAAAGAGCTGAAGAAATATACCCATCTGAGTGTGATTAACTAACACATATAAGGAAATAATGGCCAGGAGCCATGGTAAGAATTACCCAAGGATCAGAGCTCACAGAAGCGCCAACTCCTAGCAGCCACACAAAGAGAAAGAGTCAAAGTCACACAGCATCAAGAAGTGTAATCAAAGGCTTTCGCCTATACAACCATGTAAACTTAGCCCCAGAACTAAACTCTGTTCTCTCCACCTAACAAAGCTTTAATTTAAGATCCAAAACTATTTCCAAATAGTAACACAGCCAGTGAAAACTCAGGAATATTTGTAGGAATAGAAAATATTTGGTACCAAACAAGGTAAAATTAATAATACCTAGCAAGCCAGTCAAAAATTACCAGGAAGCGAAAGCAAGAGACAGGAAAAGGAATATTGTGGGACTGTCCTGCTTCAAGGTTGTATATGGTGAGATTTTTGGACTTATGTGTAAACATAAGAATTATATAATTCTTTATGCCTATTTTTAAAATATATTCTAATTTTTAAATGTTTTTTTATCATATTCTGTAGGTACTTAAAAGTTCAACATATCAATACTTGATGAAAGATACCTGTTCCATATTATGCCTAAGACGTTTGATATGCAGACAGATAGTGAGGTTAAGCTTAACAGCATAGGTTGTATGGTAATAACAATAAGTTTGTCTTCTGGATGGTTAACAACCTAAGTTTGCAGACCAAAATTAGAGAAAAAGGAGGGCTGCAAGGAAAGCCAACATTTTGGTCCTAGCCTTCTAAGGTCAATTAAGACTCATATGTCTCAGGACATATGAGAACTTGTACTGTAACGTCATGTAACTCGGTAGTGTCCCAAATTTTCTGATCAAGGAGATTATGGGGCCAAAGAGGAAAGTGATCCATGATGCTGAGTGTGCCTAAGGAGAGTCACATGGAGAGAAAACATTCTCTCAGGCTTTCACAGAGAGCACATTGGCCAAGCAATGGCCGTGACTCATCCACATGGCTGACACTGACAAAGGTTCTACAATCTGAGGTACAGGATCTCAGAATAAATCCTCAGGGAATTTCACTGACCTTATCAGACCCAAAAGCTACAACTCTTGTTGCATAGGTCCTGCTTTACCTTGGTCTTAACCATCCAGCAGAAAAGTATAAAAACAAAATAGAAGAAGTAAAGCCATGGTGTTATGTTGAGCTGTAGGGGACTCAGGTCAACAATTTCTGACATTGCCAGTCAAGCGGAAGACCCAATGCTATTATGGGCTACTGGACTCTTTAGAATATTTTGCTGAGTTTACACACCTACAATATTCAAATAACGGAACTTAACAAAAAAAGGGGATAGAGATGCATGTCTATTTTGTATCTGTGTATTCAAAGCGGTTAAGATAGATATATAGTTACATTCTCTTAATGAATAGAGGGATTTGTTCTAATGGTGTTTATAAATAGGATATCATGTCTGCATCTTGTACAGCAATTAACCACTAGGAAGAATGAATGCAATGTGTTAATTATTGAAACTGTCCTACCAATTTGATTTGAAACTGTCTCATTGCTATTTGTTTATCAATAAAATTATGGGAAAAAACAAAATTACTGGGAAGGTGAATCAGCTAGGAAAGATGAAGTGTAAGAGAAAAACAGAAGCCACCTAGTAACAACATAGATCAATGAATCAGTAGGCAGGGACAATAAAACAACTGCACCTGTACTCAAGGAAGAGAGTCAATACTGATCATGACATACATATAAAATGCAAAAGCACGTATATACGCAATTAGGTACTGGATAAAAATATGTGTATATCTGTTTTCATAATGCATATATTGATGTGCGTGGCTTTATATAAACATACAGAAGTAACTTAAAAGGGTGGCAATATTGTAGATTGTTTTTAATATGGCTCAAATGAAAAATAAAAGAACAAAACAAACAGCATACCACCACTACCTGCTTTGCTCCTCATGATCAGACTTAGAAGTTTTAAAGGGTCCTGGATAACAGAGAGGAAGTCGTTCAGGTTTAGTTAGTTAAGGATCCCAATTAGAATAAACAGAAAAGGTTACACCCACTCTACAGTTAAGGAACAAGAATCAAGTTTCTTAAAAAATAGCTACTGTCGGGGGCTGGGGAGATGGCTCAGTAGAATAAGTGTTTCCCTGGCAAGCGCAACGGTCTGAGTTCAATCCCCAGTTCCTAAAGAAAAAAAAAATAGCTACTGTCCTTTATAGTGTGTCTTTCCTCTTCAGACCCTCAACATCCCTGGCACTGGGCTCACTGGGGATCCAATAAAGTGTTCTTCGCTCTGCTCCTCTCTTTAGAGGTAAACTTGTTTTTTCCCATAATTTTATTGATAAACAAATAGCAATGAGACAGTTTCAAATCAAATCGGTAGGACAGTTTCAAAAATTCACACATTGCATAACTCTAAGTGGAAGCTTTGTCATATAATGGCCAAAAACCATCATTTAGAAACACAAAGCAAACCAGCCTTGAAAGGTTAAGAAACACTTTGTACCATTAACTCTTTTCAGTAAAAAATACATTATAAACCATGTTTTGCAAATAAAAATTTACAGGCATAAAGTTAAAAAAAATTCATTTTCCAAAACAAACAAGCCCTACCTTCAGGGTTTTGTAGGCACTGCTCATGGTGGTCACTCGGTGGTTGGCGTGACTGCCACCCAGCTTACAGAGGTGGCACACTGGCCTCCTACAGAGTTCACAGTACATGTTTATTCTCTCTGTTTCATGTTCTGGGCACATTAAAATCTGTTGAATAAAGAATATTTTTTTTTTTGGTGGTACCAGGGATAAGAATAAAAATTTTAAAAAATAAAAATATAGTTAAGCACCTTGTTTCAAGTAATCTGATAAAAACGAAAATACAAAGAACATTTGCTCAATAGATAAATGAATAAAAGTATAAAAAGAAATAAAAATATCTGATATAATACATAAAATTATACTAGAATTACTATTTTTCAGCTTGAGATTTTCAATTTAAATACACAGGTATTATTTGTGCTAAACTTGGTAACAACACAGTGAAAGATTCCGGACAGATGCAAGTGAAGTGTTTAACAGAGCTAGAAAGGTCTCTGACCCTGCAGAGTAGGCAAATATCCATGACCATAATCAGTATTTCTGTAAGGTACCAGAACACCTTAGGAAAATGTACGATGTGACTATCCTACAAGAAGTCTGTTGCTATGAGACTCTTGGAATGGTTTATGATGTAAGCTTCCAAGGTATTAGTTCTTACCAATTAATCCAAACAAAATGACCAACTGAGTTTCCTGATTTCATTAAGAACCTACATCTTTGTTCTGCAAAAGATCACTGTAGGTACATTTGAAAGTGAAAGTAAAAATAATCATTTCAATTTCAAATAAGATATTCAGTACACTAATCAAATCTAAAAGATTTACATCATTCCAATGGACTAGAGTTTAGGCAATTACCAGTGGTCTGGTAATTTACAGATATTTAAAATAAACAAAAAAAAATAGTTGAATATGCTAAATCCTAACATACAGGTTTACAGCAAAAAAGCTGGAAGCGATTTTAAGCTTTTCATAATGGCCAATTCTTACATGTTCAAATCCATTACATTTAATATACAACACAAAGTTTGGTTTTCTTCAAGAAATGATTGAGGGCCTGGGGAGATAGCTCCGTAGAATAAGCACTTGCCTGGCAAGCACAGGTCCTGAGCTCAATCTCTGGTATCACAAAAATAAAAGAAGAAAAGAAAGAAACGATTGAAAGAACTCTATAGTACAAGGGCTTTCCCTTTAAGGACCTGTATCGCACTGACGAACAAACTACTTGACAGTGAAAACTATTTTTCTCTTAGGCAGACCAGGGGCTGGGTTTCGATCCCCAGTGTGCCCATTCCCGGTGCCAGCCGTGCCCCCAGCGTGCGCTGAGACAGGGATTGAGACTGGGTGTGGTGGCACACACCTATAATCCCAGCACTTGGGAGGCTGAAATCTGTGTAGTGAGACCCTGTAGACCCAGTACTAAATACAAAAAACCCCACTATTTTTCTCAATATAACCTATTCATATTCTTTTGTTCTCTCTTATCCATTTTTCATTATATTTGTAAACTGCAAAGTATAGGAATATAATTTATACACAAAATTCATGAAATCTTTAATTCACAAAATCTCAAGCCTAATATAATTCATTTAGTAATCAGTCTCTTAATAATAGAATAATATTAATGAATTTAATCTTTAAGTGAAACACTGAAATGGGTTACAGTCATAAATTTTTTTTTTAATCAGTAACAATGAGCATCTAAAACATAACAGAGGATTAAACTAAGGCATTTAATAAATCTGCAGCCAACCAGTTTGAGAAAATAGTCATGCAAAATGAGGAAGTATATATTGTTCTTTCAATCTACCAGTCATATACTACTTAAAATGATGTAAGAAATACTTAGTTCAGTTATGAGATAACTTTTGAGATTCCTCCCCTTTTTTACCAAAATTAGAGATTTTTATGCTGAGAAATGGGATTATACGCAATACCAAAAAAAGCGGGATTATATATTCATATTTATACAAGTCATTAAGTTGTAAGGAACAAAGACTTTAAACTTTAAGAATCAACTTATTGTTTTTAAAACTATACAAGTCCGAAAGTGAAGATATCTGATAATCATTCTGTTTTTCAGATACATACCAGGGTAAGCAACAACACATAAAGCTCTTGTTAGCATTATCAAATGAATTAACCAGAATATTAAAGAAATGCAATTTCACCATAGATATTATACGATGAAATTGTATCACAAGCTTCAAAACACTGGATTGCAATTACTCTTTATTCACAGTACAATGTTAGCTAACTACAAATATCAGAAAAATGTTTCATAATCAAATCTTTTTTTTTCTTTTTTTTTTTGTGCAGGGTCTCACTACGTAGGTTGTAGTGATCCTCCTGGTTTCTGCCTCCCCATGGCTGGGATTACAGGCGTGCGCCACCACGCCCGGACTCCATCGTGGTTCAGCACGCCTGAAGGCGGGGCCAGCGCGGCAACTGGCGCCAGGGATCGAACCCTGGCACCTGCGCTTTGTTGAGCAAGCGCTTAGTCCACTGAGCTATACCGCCGGCCCTTCATAATCAAATCTTGTAGGTAATTATCACACTAAAACACAAAAGCTTGTTAAAAACTTTAGCCATCAGAATTTTAGACAACATTTCTCCTATTACTCAAAGGTGTCATTACAAAACTCATTTATTGTATTATAATACAATGAAACCCCATTTTTACCTTCTGCAGAGAATATTTTCATCCCCACACTAACTCTTAAAATGAGGCCTAAAATCCTTGTGCTTGCTTTTAATCCTTGTCTTTGACAAGTTCTAGCCTCCTAACAATCTATCCCATAACATTAAATGTAACATTCTAACTTACCTTGGGTCTAAAATTAGTGGTGGGGCCCACATACTCATGCTGCGCTTTCACAGTCCCCCAAGGATGGTAAATTTTGAAGCATTCATTGCAGTAGCTCGCACTACAGTCCATGCAACTTTTTGTGGATTCCTGCGGTGGCGGCTTACAAAGGTCACACATAATGGCTGTGGCTGCCCTAGCCGCCTGACGGTATCTCTCCACAATAGTTTCCAAGGTGAAATTTCGAAACAGACCATTGATTCCTCGTTCTCCAAGATCCACATCATGCTCACAGCCGGGGCAAGGAAAAGTAGTTGTCCTAGGGGTCAGTGAATTGCGCTTCCAGCCTGCATAATCAGTAAGTACTTGTTTAGTCACATCAGTAGGAAAAACAATTAGAATCATAAAAAGAGGAGTCATGTTTTAGAAAGGTACAACTGTATCTTTCTATAGATAGGTACATAGGAGTGATATAGATACTTCAAAATCAAGTACCAAAAGTTTCCATTTGAATCAATTTGTATTCTGACAATGCTTTTTTAAAAACAATTCTTTCCTTAGTAAACAAAAGACAAACTCAAATTACTAGTTATCAAATCAAAGAGAAAAGGTAAATCCCATATAAAACACATGCTGTCCCAAATACAGATATAAAGTGATAATACAATACTACATGGATGAGGACCATTTATAATCATGTATTATGATACAGCACAACCAAAGGTGTTGAAGTCTTAGCTAAGAGCAAATAAGTGGACAAATAAAGAACAAGAGCCCTTAACCCAGTGCCTACAGATGGGCACCAGAAATATTCATGAACTGCATCAAATTGCAATATTTTTCACATATATATTTTCTGGCTAAACAAATTACAACTTTTATAATATTCTCAAAGGAATATGTAAATATAAAATTTTTAAGAACTTCTGCATAGATTTCCCATTGTAGTATTGTTTTATTTTGAAAAATTCAGTAAGCAAGAGCATTAGGTATAATCTATAGAAGAGTGAAAAACTCATTCATAGACCTAGAATTTAGGAACCTGAAGAGGGACCAACCATTTAGTATCTTCTTATGACCTGAAACAAAGAATCATTAAGATTACTTCATCCAGGCAGAGATGTTGCCCAAATGTATTACGTGAAATTTAACAATGTAGAGTGGCCTTAAACATCTCTTTCCTTTTTCAGTGCTATCACCCTCATTCCTTAACCACTGATTCACAGAAAATCCAAAACTGTATTTAACACAGGTGTACACATACCATATTTTTCCCCTCTCACTTAAAATATAGAGCATGCAATCTTGGTTGTCTCAAAATAACTCACTTCATATAAACACCAACTTCTTAAGCTACAGCCTTCCTTCATACTACCACGCTTCTAGTCCAAAAATGAATGGTTAAACTTAATAGACCACAACTTAGGAAAAGTCTAAACAGCTACACAAATACTACCTTTAAACATGACTATTTGTAAGAGTATCTTGAAAGATTCCTGGCTTGATATCACTAAAGGTAAAATTTAGCCATCAGCCACAATATTACTTACTTAAAATGCCTTTATTGCATGCTAAAATAGCTTTTGGCCCCAAAAGCTATTTATGCAACAAACATGCACAATATTTTAGTGGCTCCCTTTAAAGACACCTTAACATTTATATTTATGAAATAACTGCCCCATAAAAATTTGAAAATCCTACCCTACATATATTCTTGTAATGATACTATGCACATGCAATACAGTCCAAGATGTTTCACACCACAGCAGGCATATCATGAAATAAGCAGCAAAGCTACTTTTCAAACACATGCCAATGAAAACTTCCTTTAGTGAAAACAACCCAAACCCTTCTGGAAGTGATACGGTGCAGTGGTCAAGTTTAGGCAAATGAAAAGTCACAATTATCTGCATGCTTCCACACGAGTATGATGATGGAAACTTAAAATGAATGGATAACTGATTTCAACACTCAATGTTAAAAAAATAGTGGGTGACTAGTATTGGGATTTTTTGTATTGGCTTTATGAAGGTTGTGATCAACTCAGTAATTAGATAAAACAAAACTGAAACAAGACAACAAAATCATTCTTTAGTATGTATACTGGTGATACCCACATTTTGGTCTTCATGTGTATATATCAAAAGATGTTTCATCCCTTTTCTGTACACCTCTGTTAACCTGTTTTTTCAGTTAAAAATAAAGTAAAAAGCATCACACTGGACTTTCTTTCTTTTTTTTTTTTTGGCAGTACCAGGTATCAAACTCAGGACCTTGTGCTTGCCAGGCAGGTGCTCACTGCCCTATGGTCTGAGGTTAACCATTTCTGTTATCATAGAAAAGTCCACCGGACAGTGCATGACATAAGGAAAAGAAAACTAAGTATGGACTATAAAGGTAAAGAAGAAATACAGAGCAAGCAATGTCCAATTTGGGAGGCCAAAATTTGCAAAGTACATACACAAATACTGTCAATTTCCAAAATCTGGTCTTTTCCCTACATATCTCTACTTCATCGACATTATACAGCCAGTGTGGGGTTGTGCGCTTGTGGTCCCAACACTTGGAGGATGACAGGAGGAGCACCATGAGTTCGAGGTCAGGTGGGGCTATACAAGGGAGATCAAGGCCACCTTCCTTGCAAAGTGAGGTCCTGCCTCAAAAAGAGAAAGAGAGAGAGAGAGAGAGAGAGAGAGAGAGAGAGAGAGAGAGAGACAGAGACTTTAAACCAAAAGCATAATGAAACCATGTAATAATTTTTAAAGGTTTAAAATATTTCTAAATTAACTTACAGCAAATCCTGTAAGCAGGTTAGCTTTTATTATTTTACCATTTAAATATCACAGAAGAAATAAAGAATTTCAAAACAAAGGGAAGACAAGCAACTCAACATAGGTTTCAAACCTCTGCCAGCTGTATCCTCCTCCATTTGCTGACTGCAAGCAACCTCCCTTGCTAACACATTGCCATTTGATCAGCTCTTCCTCCCCACACTGGACATCACTGTTGGGTTTTTAGCACTCGGCAACAGACTGCCACTTTAATGTTCCTTTTAGCACCTTCTAAGCCTCTGATGTCTATGTGTCATATTTACTCTTGAACATCTGCATTCAACTTGCAAAAAAAAAACCTCAGCTACCTTCTAAATCAAAACCAGGTAGTAGGAAATTAACTTCTTTTAAGAAAACTTATGAAAAAAAAGAAAAAGAAACTGTTATGTCTCTTTCTCATTACTACAGTTCAATATTTAAAATCCTCAGACTCACCGAAGCCTTATTGAAAAATTCCATACGGCTTCTAGATGTGGCTGGAAGATTTTTTTAAACCAAAAGATGCAGAGGACTATGAGGAAAACAGGAAAGGGAAAACATTTCAGGTGTTTCTGTTCTCTAAAGAAAGAGTGGGTTATCGCCAGTATGTCACCAAAAAGTAGCCAATTTTACTTTAAAGGTCAACTGGAACTTTTTTGGAAAAGAAAATTTTGATTTAAGTTGGTCCACTTTTCACACAGAATTTAATACTTCAAAAAGTCTAAAAAAGGAGAGGACATTATTTATCCACAAGTGGGTAGGACTTCAGTGCTAAAATTTTGATGCTAAATGGTTTAAAACATTAACAAAAATGTCACAGGCATAAAAGAAGCAAAGATTCTGCTATTAGATACAAATTTATCAAATTTATTAAATCAAATTTTTCAATATGTATTTAACCTCCCCAAGAAGTAATATAAAGCTTCATCCCAGTAAGTAAATGCAAAAGACTTTTTAAGTGCTGGGTATCAAAAAAAACAAAAACAGCATGTGTCATTTTCTTCAGAAATGTCTTGCTATGTGCAGCGAGCAAATACTCGCATGAACAATCGTGTTTCCCTCTGCTTAGAAATTTAGTCCTGTTGACCTTTAAGTCATATTAGTCCAATTTGTTAGCTTTCTACATAATTTTTAGGACTTGACCACTGATTTTAAAGAACTTTACACACACACATATATATAAAACAAGATCATTTAATTTAAATCTAACACTACGCTGTCTGCGGCCACAAAAGCAACGAAGCATCTGCTACCTCTCCACCCCAAAGATCTCCGCTGTGACGCTGTAAACAATGAACAGAAAGCTGGATTTAGAATTGTATTCCAAAGAGAAGATTCACAACATGTTAACAAAAGATAAAGCAGTGACTGTCCTGCACATAGTTCTATTACTGAATTAACCATAAAAATGTGTTTTTCTCAATACACATGGTATTTATCAAGCCAACAGTACAAAACATTCAAGCTTTCTTATTAGAATTTAGAATTCATTGTTACTCATACAGTATTTAAAGAGATTATACTTTTTCTTATGGATCTGCTTTTAAATAATCGAATTTCTAGTAACTATAGGAAATACAAGTAAAATCAAGTATCTTTTGAATTTTTAATTTGATTTTACTGAAAACAGTAAATAAATGCAATTAAAATAGTACCCTTTTTTGTGACCACAGGGAAATACAAATTGGAGGAAAAACTTATATGTATATGCTCAGAAGAATGGAATGAAATAATCGGCTTTTACTTTTTACATAATTTACTATCATTAATATCCTTTCTAGGTACTATAATTTTTTTAAAAATGTACTGAATGGCTAAGGCAACATTACCCAAATAAAACACATGAGCCCATAAATATTTTTAGATTTTCCAGTAGCCACATAAAAAGTTAAAGAACAAGTGAAATAAATTTTGATAACATATTTAATTTAATTCAATTCACTACGCCCAAAAGACTGTAACTTCAAGATGTAATTAACAAATATGTTGGGGCTGGAGAGATGGCTCAGTGGTCTAAAGCACCTACTTGAAACAAGCTTGGCAAAGCACAGGGACCATGGTTCGATCCCCAGCACCACATGCCAGCCAGCCCTACCCCCTGGTGGGCTGAGCTGGCCACACACACACACAATAAATAAATGTAATAAATAAAAATAAATAAATATTTTAAAAAAAATATGTTACAATCTTCATCTTAGGTCTGTAAAATTCTGCGTGCACTTTACACTTACAGCACCTCGTAATTCAGACTACTCACAGTTCAGGTAATCAGTGGCTCTACATGGCTAGTGGCTACTGTACTGGATGGTCCATGTGTGATCCTTTACTAAGGCTTACCTTCGAATTATTAACCTTAGTTTTTAGAACTCTATCCTTCCTATTCCAATTTTCTATAAATAGACTTTCTGGTTTCCTTCCCAAGCATGATTAATTGTTGTTTTTAAATGTTATCAGGAAAAGAAGTAGGGGATAGGGGACATTACTTACTCATGAATCTGTAAATCTATCAAAAATTATAGACAAATGCACAATAAATGGAGGGTTAAGTAACATCATAGGGCAGTAAGCTTCCTGTTTAAAACTGGTGAATATGTGAAGGACAATGTGAAAATTTACATTCAGAAGGCTTACCACACATTGGGCATTATCACTGCTGGATGTGCTACCTTTACCTGCTAGCTTGCTTTAAATGTGTTCCTAATAAAGGACCGTGTTTCTACATCTCTTATGAAGCTTTTTGCAATGCTAAGTTGTAGAAACTGAGACTAGCTCAAAAGTAGGACATCTGTCTACAACACTAAGCTGTTACATGCTTTTGCAAAAAGGACAGGTCAAAGCTGGGAATATAGCTCTGTGGCAGAGCACATGCTGAGCATGTGGAAGGCCTGAGGTCAACCCTAGCACCACAAAAAAAAAAAAAAAAAAGAGAGAGAGAGAAGAGAAAAAAGGAAGTGCAGATTTATCTTACTTTTCATTCTTCAGCATTTACACATATCTAATAACTCAAATAATTGCGGGATGAACAAATGAACACAGCCATATTCAGTAAGACACAGCACTGGAGAGCTAGAGAAGTTCTAGATGACAAACAGCTGGGCGTGGTGGCACAGGCTTATCATACCAGCATTCAGGAGGCTGAGGCAAGAGAACTGCCATGAGTTCAAGGCCAGCCTGAATTATATAGTAAAACCCTGTCTCAAAAAGACAAAAAAAAGAAAAAAGAAAAGAAATGTAAAAAATGACAGAACTGGCTGAACTTGCCACGCAAAGCTGAAGCTCCCCAATACTATTTGAAGAGAGTGGACACACCAATCCATTCTTTAAACAAAGACTGCAAACACTAACGGCCCAAAACCTGGGTCAGTCAGAGCCAAAGCTGTGCTGGTACAGTGGTTCACTGTGCTGACAGCCTGGTTCACTGGACTCCACAAAATTCATCGGAGCTATCATGGTTCACATCTGGATGTCCCCCAAAGCCTCACACACTCATGGGTGGTACTTTTGGAATGTGACTGGATTATGGGGCTTATGGCTGAGCTGATGTTAGAAGCTAAGATTTGCTCAGAAGAGGCAGGTCTGGGGGGGTCACCTAGGTCTCTCTTCCACTCCTCACTCTCTCTTTCTCTCTGACATTCTATGAGCTCCTTCTCTTCTGCCACACTACCCTGTCTTGGAACCAAGGACTACAGACTGAAATCTCTACAAACTAGGAGCCGAAGTCTCTCCTTACAGTTGTGGGAGTTGGGTACCATGTCTCAGCAGTGAGAAAGAGGAGCTAAGGAGGATGCCAAGTAGCTTTGGTCCCCTTGCAAAGCATCCCTGAGAGTCTCCAGGGTCCTAAACCACACCTGCTGCTTCCAAAAGGGAGCCCTAGATCAGATGGCTGGTGACTTGGCCTGCGAATGTTTGTAGAGTTGAGCTAATGGGAAAAGATCCATCTCTTTATTACAACAAAAAAGTAAAACAAGAGCATTTCCTATTTAGTATGCCTGGGTCTTGCTTCAGTTCTAGACCTGTTTGACCCCTATAGATCTACCTTTGACACTGGAATTAAACACTTCTATTATCAGGGACCTGATTTGACTAAGCAGTCCACTTTATTTCTGGGAAACCCTCAGAGGTTTGTGTTTGTTTGCTTTTATGCGAAGTTAAACAGGCCTTCTTCTTCCATCTACTCATTCATCCAGAACCTCTGCTAAAGATAGCAAGAACACTCCTCACCCACAAGACTGCAATCACATTCTCAAGTCAGCCTGCCCCTGAGTTCAACATTCTTATCTCCTCTCATTGTTCCTCACAGAAAAGTTCTGAAACTCTTCACCATTCTGTTGCCCTTCAGGCCATAAACTGACATCATATAATGCATCCTAAAGAAGGAAGCAGCCATCTCAGTGATTCTATTTCTAACCTAGACAGTGGGATGTGGGGTGACCTGGTCCTGAAAACAAAATGCCACTACTACTGAACAAAGCCATTATGTCGAGCTTTTGCACAAGCTGTATAGCAGAGACTCGTCCCTCAACACACCTGTATTCTGCACTTACAGAGGACTGTGCTAGGTCTGTTCCTTTTTACCATATTTTATATAAATCACATACAAAAGTAGCCAAAGCTGAAGATGAAAAGCCTATGTAAAACAACAGGTTTGACTAAATATGTGAGTACAGGTAGAAATACTACCCCACTTAATTGTCTGCTCTGAATATTAATCTACAAAAGTTTTCTTTGGTCAATCAAACAGGGATCCCAATTAGCCAAAGAGCTACGAACAGAACAGCCAAGTGTTCTCTGGAAGGATGACTGGTCTTTCTTCTCCTCCATGGGCGGGACTCACTGTGGGGAGGAACACACACAGCGATGACCTCACAATGAGCACAATCCTCTCCAGCTTGTGCTCCTCCTGCCTGCAACCTGCCTGATAACCTTTGGCTTGGTATCGATATGTAATTTCTTTTTTTTTTGGGTGGAACCAGGGATTGAACTCAGGCCCCTGAGCTTGCCAGGGAAGTGCTTATTCCACTGAACCATCTCCCCAGCCCCTCGATATGTAATTTCTATGCGTGTAAGTATCTGGCACATAATTAGTGACTCATGCTTAAAGAAATACACATTTTTAAAATAACAGTAAAATTTTTAAGAAGAATTACTCTTATTCAGACTCCATGCAGACAGTGGACCAATTTAAAAATAAAAAAAAGATGCCATTTTAAAAAATGCAACTAAAGGATCTTCTGAAAAAAAATTCACAAGATTAAACAGTTATTCCATATTGTACAAATAATAAACTGTCAATCTGAACAAAAAAAATTAAACTCAAAACCTCAGTGTTTACTCCAGGTGTGGTGGTGCATATCCATAATCTGAGCACTCGGGAAGCTTAGGCAGGAGGACTGCTGTAAGTTAGAGGACAAGGAGAACTACACAGTGAGACCATGTCTCAAACAAAACAAAGAAACACCCTGGAGCTCCAAGAGGGCAGAGTGGAAGCTCTGCAATTTGAACTTCTGGCCTCTCACACTGCCCTCACTGGGCAAGCCTCACAGGAGGCCAGGGCTTCTACCCACCTTGGCCATCACTGCTGACGTTTATACTAAGGATGTCAGCACCTGCAGTGATACTAAAGCAATTCTCATTTGATATACACACGCAAAATTAATTTCAACATTGGTTCCAATGTTGAACAGATACCGTGTATGTGTTTGCTATACATGAAAGTACATCATCTACTTGTATACCTTATCACATAGTTCTGCTGATTCATGATGTTCAAAATCCTTTGGTGATACTGGGGACTGAACCCAGGACCTTGCAGTAAGCTATATCCCCATACCGTTCTTATTTTTTTGAGACCAGGTCTCACTAAGTCACCCGTCTGGGCTTGAAGCTGCAATCCTCCTGCCTCCATCTCCCAGAGTGCTGGAATTACAGTCGTGTGTGCCACCACACCTAGTTAAAATCCTTATTTTTAAAACCGGACTTACAATGGGTAAAAACAAAATTCTCAGGAGGAATGATACCAAATAATCTCTCTAAAAATTTTCTAGGATCACTAATAATTTTTTTTTCTAGGATTAGCTATCCTAACCTGCAGTATTTGTATAATGCTATAGTGTATGTGGCATTTTTCTAGTATTATTTTATATCAATAATATCACAGAGACAGAACATTCTTAAAATTATAGGCACTTTAGCATAAAGTTGGTGTTCAATATCTAATGTCCACTCTAAGTACATATTAAAAGTAACTAGATTTCATTTTGACATTTTAAGGAGGGGAACGCTTTGTAACTATTTACCTGGAAAATCAACAATTAAAATGACAAAAAATAGTTTTTTCTTCCACACTTACAGCTGAACATAACTACAAGCTCCCCCACCCCGAGGGCTTTCTGCTACATACCTGGTCTGTTAATTCTGTCAATTCTATCCATGCTAGGGGAGGAAAGCCGAAGTCGAGGGCTGCTCTGATTGGACTGGTCTGATCCCACATCATTGAATGAATCATCGAGAGTCAGCAAGAGTTCTTTTACACATTTATGACAGATGCTATGTTGACAAGGGAGAATCAACGGGTGGGTAAACAGCTCCTTGCAGGCTGGGCAAATAAGCTCTCTTTCAATATTCTTAATAGTCACCTTCAAATTGAATAATAAAAAAAACACCTAGTCAGAAACTTCTTACTGGGTAAATATGTTAACCATGCTTATCCCTCTTGAACATGTGCTTTTCTTAACAGAAGGAATTAAACAGATTTTTTTTTTTAAACCTGAAGTTCCCTTCAAGTCTGAAACTTCATTACCTAATCAACTTCCTTTTTAACATCAAGCTTAGAATTGAGAACTAACAAAACTGAAGACTAAACAAAAGAAAAAGAGGGAGTCTGGGCGTGGTGGTGCATGCCTGTAAGCCCAGCGCTGCAGAGGCTGAAAACCAGAGGATCACTACAAGTCCGAGCTGAGTAGTGAGATTCTGTAACAAATACACTTTAAAAAAGAAAGAAAAGGGCTGGTGAGATAGCTCAGTGCTCTAAAGCACCTGCTTAGGCAAGCATACAGGGACCTCGGTTCAATCCCCAGGACCACATGCCATGCCAGCCCTGCCCACAGGGTGTGCTGAGCTGACCATAAAAAAGAAAAAAATAAAGGAAACATTAAAAAAAGAAAAAAGAAAAAAGAAAAATAGCAAAAAGAAAGTATAACAAAAAAGTTAGCATAAAGCATTAGGATCCCAAAATTACTGAAAACAAACAAACAAAAAATCAAATCATCAAGAATAATTCACTGATTTGGGGCCTCATGAAATTCAAAAAAATTGTTTCAATGAAAAGACTAGCATATTCTCATAAAAGTACAGATAGAGTTGCCAGAGCCCAGAAAATGTGGGAGGGAAGGAACACAGAAAGGACAGTGAGTGGATACAGGACTGCAGGTGACAAAGAGGAATAACTTCTCGTGTTCTACAGCACAGCGAGTGTCACAGCTGGTGACAACTTTATATTTCAAGATGCTCCTAGACAGGACTGCAAATGTTCTCAACACTAGTAATAAATGTTAAAGATACACTAATTACCTCAACATGACTGTTACACTTCGAATATATGCACTTAAATGTCACAATGTGCCTCATATATGCAGTGGTATTGACTCAAAATACGTAAGTAAAAATTTTTAATATAGCAAGCACTATGAATAATTTATTCCTACTTGATGCATTAACTGGAGGCTGGCTGAACCTATTTACAAGCTGAACTAGCAGCCGTTCTCTACTTATACATAACCATTCTTCATTCTGCAACTACAGTGCAGCTAAAATGCTGGTTCTTATGCTGCATATCAAATAATCATGAAAGTACTTTAGGCTTAAAAGGAGGCACATGGCTGAAAGTCGCCAAGTGCTTCAAAGATTGTGACACATGAGACATGGTTAGATTCTTATAATTAATATATAATTAATGTATATTCTTATAATTAACAATATAGTCTTATAATTAATAAGGTTTAATGACTTCACCCATTTTT